TTCTAATCCCACCTTAAGCATAAAAGCCAGCTGGGTGACTTTGGGCCAATCACCAGGAGACGGTGAATTCTAATCCCACCTTAAGCATAAAAGCCAGCTGGGTGACTTTGGGCCAATCACCAGGAGACGGTGAATTCTAGTCCCACCTTAAGCATAAAAGCCAGCTGGGTGACTTTGAGCCAATCACCAGGGGATGATAAGTTCTAGTCCCACCTTAGGTATGAAAGCCAACTGGGGAAGTTTGCGCCAATCAACAGGAGACTATGAGTTCTAATGCTGCCTCAGCCATGAAAGCTGGGTGGGTGACTGGGGTCAATCACCAGGAGACGGTGAATTCTAGTCCCACCTTAAGCATAAAAGCCAGCTGGGTGACTTTGAGCCAATCACCAGGGGATGAAAAGCTCTAGACCCACCTTAGGTATGAAAGCCAACTGGGGCAGTTTGCGCCAATCAACAGGAGACTATGAGTTCTAATGCTGCCTCAGCCATGAAAGCTGGGTGGGTGACTGGGGTCAATCACCAGGAGACGGTGAGTTCTAGTCCCGCCTTAGACATGGAAGCTGCAATGCTATTTGGGGTTTTTTTTTGGTGGGGGGGGCAGGAGGGAGTCAGTTTCACTGCATTTTTCTAACACTCGAGCCCGGGAAAGGCAGCTGACCGAATTTATTTCTCTCCCCTTCCTTCTTTTCAGCTGCTTCTTGTCTCTGCTCCTTGTGGCTGCCGTGGTTTGGAAGATTAAGCAGAGCTGCTGGGCATCGCGGAGGAGAGAGGTGGGTCAGAACGACACAATTACTGCTTTCTGCAATGATCTGCGTGGTTTAATCTCAGTTTATCTCAGTTTCTGGATCCTTCCCGCCCCCCCTTAAGATAAACAACAAATTGCTTTGGTTAAAAAAACCACAAAGGTCCAGTATTGGTCTGCAGCCATGCGCGGGTAGAAGGGCCCAGCTCTGCTTCATATCCCTGGCACTTGCGCCACTGATAGTCCTTGAGTTGGCAACCATTAGTTTTCTTGCAATGACCCGCTAAAAAGTGACTCACGACGGGTCCTTGCACTCAGAACCGTTTCATTGTCCCCACGGCGGGACGGCAACGACAACTGGCATGTGTTTATGATGTCTGCGGCACCCCAACCGCCATTCGCGACTTTCTCAGCCGGCCTCTGACCAGTGGGGGGGGGAAGGTGGAGTTACTGAAAGAATTGACGACTCGCTTAACAACTGCAGTGATTGGCTGGACGCCTGTGGCAAGGAGGGTCATAAAATTGGTCATTTAATCAGCACCGATTTTGGTCACTAAGCAAGAAGGTTGTAAGTCGAGGACTCCCTGTAGCAGGGAGCCCCTCTGCATCCCATCTCAGGCAGAATCCGTGGGAAATGGATCCTTTTTTTGAGAGAAAGAGCCCTGGTCGTACGCTGGAGTGGAACTCATAACTTCTAAGGCGTCTGCTTCAAAGACGGACCCCTGCGAAGCGCAGATCCGTTCAGCCTCCGGGCGTCACCATCATCCTCGCAGCAGGCTCCATTTTAGTTCTTCCTCAGAGGAGTCCGCTTTTCATCCCTTGCAAAGGTTCGGCTTTCTGCCTCGTGCGGGAATCTCACACCAATATGTCGTTTCACACACAAACACACAACCCTTTGCAAATCTGACGTTATGGCAATAGAAGAGGCCTTATCCTGCATTGGCCCCTGTAAGGCCTGTGGACTTCAACTCCCAGAATTCCTCAGGCCGCCATGAGGATAATTAAGCATGGCAAGGCTGGCTGGGGAATTCTGGGTGTTGAAGTCTGCAGGCCATAAGGTGCCCATGTTTAGATAACAAAACAGGAAGATAATTGACCATAGCAATGCTGGCTGAGGAATTATGGGAGTTGAAGTCCACAAGGCCTTAAAGTGGCCAAGTTTACACACCCCTAGGGACAGAACGTGGGGGTAATTAACCCTGGCAATGCTGGCTGGGGAATTCTGGGAGTTGAAGTCCACGGGCCTTTAAACGGCCAAGGTTGAACACCCCTAGGGGCAGAACATGAGAATAATTAACCCTGGCAATGCTGGCTGGGGAATTCTGGGAGTTGAAGGCCACAAGGCCTTAAAGTGGCCAAGATTAGATGCCTCAGGACAGAACACGAGGATAACAAACCATGAATAAGCCAAGCCAGGATTTGAGCCTCGAGCTGACCCTCTCTGAGATCTTACCATCCCAAAATGAAATTGGTGCCCAAGTTCTGACAGACACCTCAATAATGGTCCAATGACAGCATTTTGGCTGCCCGGCAACTGGCTCAAATGTAGTGCCTTTTACAGCGTCCCGTAGTCCCTGGACTACGATTTACGATGGTTTGGGTTTTTTTGCCAAAATTTGGTTGTTTGCTTCATTGTTTGGGCGAAAATGCCCCTTTACAAACAATATGTTCGCTTAATGACTGTGATGTTTGCTTTATGACGGCAGATCCGCATAATGACCATCACAACCCACCCACCCCCAATAAAATTGGGTTGGTCATGTGGGTGTCCCATTTTATGACCATGACAACTTATGACTGCAAGGGGCATTACAGTCGTAAGTAACATCTTATTCCTTAAATAAAAGATGCAGCTTGCTTCCACGTAACATCAGTGTGGAACCAGGCCTATAAGCATTTGATCTAATTTCTATGCTTGGCTGTTGAGTTTGCTTTTCCTACGCTGTGTTTTTAAATGTAAAACATACAAGTAGCACCAACAAAAAGATTTAAGCACTTGCAAAAGGAACAAAAGAGTAAAACACAAATAATACACTTATGAATAACCCAACAAGAAATCTAGAATATCATGTAAATTATGGTTTTCCAGTGTATCGTTAATTGCTTGTAAGTAATAGAATATATTATGTCATTTTAAAAAAATGTAGAAATTGCTATTAGGCTAAGAATATGTTATTAGAAACAGTGGTCAGCTCCATTCAAAATTAAGAGGTATAATTAATGAATCAATGTTGCCAAGTTAGTCAAAGTGAAATATTCCATGAAGTTAAAATATAGGCTCCATATTTAGAAAAATCAAAATTTTGGATGGCACAACGCTGGCCGTCAAATTATAGTCCAGGCATGCTTTCTCGTTAGAATTCAATTCCTTATCAGATTTAATTTTAAGATATGAAGGTATTCTGGACATGGAAGCATATTCCCTAATTTCATATGCAGCAATTAAAACAGATAGTCCTCCTCTTACAACAGTTCATTTAGTGACCATTCAAAGTTACATCGGCACTGAAAAAAGTGAGTTTTTCAAACTTACAACTTTTGTGGTCATGTGATCAAAATTCAGAGGCTTGGCAACTGGCATGTACTTATGACAGTTGCAGTGTCCCGGGGTCACATGATCCCCTTTTTGCAAAATCCTGGCAAGCTAAAGTCAATGGGGAATCCAGATTCACTTAACAACCATGTCTCTAACTTAATAACGGCAGCAATTCACTTAGCAACTGTGGCAAGGAAGGTCATAACCCCGGGGCAGAATTTACGTAGCAGCTTGTTTCTCTTAGGAACGGAAATTTTGGGTTTAAGCTATGGTCGTACGTTGAGGACTATCTGTACCTACAAAGCTAATTCATGTCTTTCCTATGCAGTCTTGTGGGTCCAAATGTGCTTCACACACACACACACACATATGCGCAACCATTCCCCTCTCGCTGCGTTTGGCCAACCTTTGCAAGAAAGAATGTCAGTCCTGCTCCCAGGACCTCTGCCGTTTGAATGGAGTTCAATATTTTACGAAGGATTTAATTGTAAAGTAAATTGACTGTACGTTGCCGCCCCAGCCATACCTGCCACTTAAGTCTTAATTACTCTTTTTCCTCAAGATACCGATATTGCCCTGTTCTCCGAGATTGCCATGGCTACAGCTGCGTAACCCAACATTTGTGCACATTCAAAGTGTTTCTCTTTCCATTGATTTCTGACATTTACATTCTTCGGCTGGTTCTTGTTTCGGGTGTTTTTTGGTACAAAGAGGCAGGCACCTTGGATTCAGGAAGGAGATTTATCGATAGAAAAGAATATTTGCAGCTCAGGGTTGAACTGTGGGAGTCCTTGATGGTCTCGGAGCTTGGTGCTTTTCTTGCAGACGTTTCATGACCCAACTAGGTAACATCATCAGTGCTAGAAGGCAGTGGGGTTTGCAGGGAGGAGGAGGAGGAAGAGGGGAGGAGGAGGAGGAGGAGGAGGAGGAAGAGGAGGAGGAAAAAGACTGTGGGGTCCTTGGTGCTCTCTGAGCTTGGTGGTTTTCTTGCAGACGTTTCATGACCCAACTAGGTAACATCATCAGTGCTAGAAAGCAGTGGGGTTTGCAGGGAGGAGGAGGAGGAAGAGGGGAGGAGGAGGAGGAGGAAGAGGAGGAGGAAAAAGACTGTGGGGTCCTTGGTGCTCTCTGAACTTGGTGCTTTTCTTGCAGACGTTTCATGACCCAACTAGGTAACATCATCAGTGCTGGAAGGGAGTGGGACATGTGGAGAGGAGGAGGAGGAATGTGGGGTCCTTGATGGTCTCTGAGCTTGGTGGTTTTCTTGCAGACGTTTCATGACCCAACTAGGTAACATCATCAGTGCTAGAAGGGAGTGGGACTTGTGCAAACTTTTCGGTGTGCTCCGTCGACAGGAATGGAAAAATCTGAAGACTAAAAAAAACAAAACAGAACAAAACATTAGAAAGTGATGAGATTTACACAGCTCCTTACCAAGCACATCTAAATCATATTAAATTAAGCAAAGTATCTTTACCGTCCCTAACTTTTGAGCATCCCTAATCTTTGGAAATTTCCAAAGTTGAAAAACCTAACGCACCCTACAAAAAGTTGCTGTTTTCCCCTCTAGATTTTCTGGGTTGAAAGGCTTCCCAGGGATGGATCCCCCCCCCCCTCTTAAGTTAAACATCAATCGGAGGGTTATATACTGGATAAAGGCAGAGAAATACCATCTTCTGCCTGGAGCTGTTAAGATATTTAATGAGGGCTTTTGACAGAAAATGTCACAGGTATGAAATGGTCTTTAGGCACGTGTTTTGCAAAGGTGATCCATACGGTAGCTTATTAGCCTAACCGCTGTTAAGTCATTTATCCTTGGTGGATGCCTTGAATCGAAAACGATAGGAAGAACCGATCAAATTTCACCAAACGTTTGCATCAATGCGGCTACTCTGACTTTAGGCCGATCTCTGCAGAACTTGGAGTCTCGGAGAGTCACGAACCAATGAAGCAGACTGATTGTCTCCTGCAAACTCCACTCCCCTTTCGCTCCTCTTTTATTTGCTCGGGGAGGGGCCATTCACTGTCCGCCTGTGGCCTTACTCCCAAGTCGACCCCTGTTCTTTAGCTCCTACCTTCATCTGGCAACTCTGCGCATGCGCACACTGGGAACAGGCTCCAGCTGTTCTTCTGCCCCACTGATGTCCGACTCCGAAGGCAGCTGAAAACTGTCAGTCAGACGAGCCTGTCCCCCTCTCTGCCTT